CCTCCCCCCCGCAGTACATAAACCAATCAATCACACACACACACACACACACACACACACACACACACACGCACGCGCGGGGTCTTTTTTTTTTTTATTGATTGATTGATTGGTTGATTGGTTGATGTACTATGGGGGGGGTCGCCTCCCCCCCCAGTACATCAACCAATCAGTCACACACACACACACACACACACACACACACACACACAAATACAAGTGTGACAGTGTGTATTTCCATGTTCTAGGGGTAGATTCATTTGATTTTGCTTGTTTGTTTTTTCTCCGAGGCTAGCCGCGCGATTGGAGACTCACCCTCTCTCTCTCTCTGTGTCTCTCTCTCTCTCTCTCACACACACACACACACACACACAAACACACAAAAACAAGTGTGATAGTGTATATTTCCATGTTCTAGCGGTAGATTCATTCGATTTTGCTTGTTTTTGTTTTTCTCTTTTTTGGACGGCAATCTTTTTTCTTAATTTTTTTTGAAAAATACTACGGGACCCCTTGGGCCTTGAGACCCCCCCTACCATCCCTGGGGGTCAACACCTCCTCCTCACCCCCCCCACCGGGCCCTGGCACGTTCGGACGGAGACCGTCCGTACGCCCGTACGACCGTTCGTACGTCCGTACGCACGGGCTGTACGGAGACATCCTGTACAACGTACGGGGGACTACACTGATGTAAACTTGTCATGTGGGTGTCACGCTCGCCGATCCAAATGTGGCGTACCAGCCACACCCCTCGTTGCATCCATTTGAGACCAACGGTACCAGGTGCTTTTGCCACAGAGAAAGGAAGCCCGACATGAACGAGGATATAATAGCTGGGTTTTCAAACTGACAAGTATATGTTCTGAGCTCGTTTGCTTATTTTCCAGGTGGATGTCACGTTCGCCATAATTCCAAATGTGGTGTACCAGCCACACCCCTCGTTCAGGCTCGTTGCATCCAATTTGAGGCCAAAGTTACGAGGTGCTTTTGGCACAGACAAAGGAGGCCCGACATCATGATCGAGGATATAGTAGCTGGGTTTTCGAACAGATAAGTATAAAGAATCCCGTCTCTGATTTCTGGAAGAGTAAAGCACTTGGGGGGAGTTCAATATCGTACCGCACGCCTTGAGAATGTCACTCCTGGTCCTATCCACAGGTTCGGATGCAAAGGGATGATGCATAAGCATTGCGTGCCAGACGACTTCCGAGTTAGACAACTTCCAATCTTTTGCGAGAGAGGGTTGGGGTAATATAATCCTACGCAGCTGGCGTTCTGTTGAAGTTGGGGGCTGTTGAGGCTCTCACTGGCCATCTGGCCATGAGAGCGCGATTTTGGATTTCCGGGTCAACGACTTCGAGACCACCAACTTTCTTCTTCTCGGTAATTTTCGACGATGCCACTATGCTAACGAGTGATTGGGCTACTGGATTCCCTTTCCACAGAAATCTAGTGAGCAGGCGTCTAGTAGCGGTGGAAGAAGTAGGCGTTAGACTCGGAGCCCGAATTGACAAGATATACCATACCTTGGAAGAGATAAAAGTGTTGATTAAAAAAAAAAAAAAAAAAAAGAAGTGTTGATGCCCACTGCCCGACCGAAAAGGGATAGGAAGTGCGTCTTGGAGCAGATGGCACATGAATCGCGCATACTATTTTCAAGGACAGAGTCTTGCGCCGGGGAGGGATCCCGAATGAGACTTGGATATCTAGGGGTATCTTTCGGCCTCTGCGTTAGATTAGATTTGACCTGGATAGCCAAGTCCAGAGCGAAGGGTTGGCATTGCGGGGTAAGGGCTATTGATTTCTGCCAACTCACTCTCATTTCGGAGGCTACCTCGTAGGTGGATAGGCATTATTTCAAAGCTGCAACAATGCAATCATTTAGACGTCTCCTTGGATCCCATTGCCTAACTAAATAGAAATATATTTTTTGCTTGCTATTTCGTTTCTTGAACCAGCTGGTCGGTGCCCAAAAGAGTCCCTTGTCTGCAAAATAAAGGGGTTGACGCTCAGGGCCGGTGTAGCCTCCAAGCACATCATGATGCTCAGTATTGGGTGAGTCCTGCCTGTATGACCCTGTCTGTGTGTTGTGGGGCAGGGCATGGCAGGGAGGGACGCACCACGTACCTCTTATCCGATGTCTTTCTTCGTGCCTGCAGAAAGTCGTTGGGTAGCGGGAAGGTTTTCGAAGCTAGCGCAGGCATAAACAAATCTCCTTTGACGTTGGACTGCTGTAGCATCATTGTGCCCTGATTACATTTCTTGAAGATAGGTGGGGCCACGATGTAGGGGGAATTCTGTTGAGCCGTGTGAGGGAGACTGGACGTAGGAGAGAAGGGGGTCTGCTTGAAATTACGGCTTGTCCCGCTGCCTGCTTTTCCATTCTCACTTCTTTTTGTGTTTGTGTAGAAGGGGACATTGGGTCCTGTGCAGTTCGGTTGTCCACACCCACCCACCC